TTTGCTGTCTGATTGACATAAAAGAATCATTATTTTGATGTCTGTTGTTGGTTAACTTGTAATGTTGGGTTGCTGTCTCACTGACATTAAAGAATCATTATTTTGATGTCTGTTGTCAGTTATCTTGTAATGCAGGGTTGCTGTCTCATTTATATTTACCAAATATTTATCAAATAAAAACAACCATTTTCATTAAATATGGCTATGTAGTTTACTTATTGACAACATATAGAAATTAGCCAACACAAAAACAATGAATACCATAAAGAACAAACCCCTAAGCCTTTGCAGATGCACATTTCTAAGAGTGCATTAAGTAGTTTGAGAAACAATAAATAATCAGAAAATAAAAATAATATATTTTTGTACTTTATAATTTTGGTGTATCTGAAGCAATTTTCTGGATTAACCTTCAAGAATAACTTTCTAAAATAAATGTTGCATTGCACAATTATTTCAATAAACTATTTCAAAATCTCCATCTTTTGTCTTCATGATTTATGCTCCACAGTCTCAGCTATCTGATCGCTATCTGTTTTGTCCAATGTCTTCCCATAATGCAACATAAATTTTGGATAGATAATCCCTGAATAATATTAGAAAGGAAAATACATTACTTATATAAGTTATAGGAATGAAAGGAGAAGTTAACAATACATTCATCATATTCTATGTTGAGCTTAAAGCATAATTTTACATTGCAAAGCTGTTGATCTTTTTGAGTATAGAAAAAAACAATAGTTGAAATGGCCTTGTAGAAATCTAAAATAGTTTTGAAGTGTTATTTCCATTAATTTATTAGATGATATAACCTGGAGGTTTAGTGAACTTCTAATTATAGATTATATAATCTATATTCAATTCACTATTCCAACTGAATTTTAAATAACACTTTAAACTTTACCATAGATTTTGTATTGTTTGATAAAGATGGAAGATCACCAACAGAAATTGACAAATTATGTAGAAATCTGAAATAGGTTTGAATAAACTGAATGGATGATATAACTGAAGGTTCAGGAAATTCTTAGTTTATAGAATCAATATTCAACAGGCAAAGTCAACAACATGTATCACCGATTCGATTCATACTAACTTTTGAATATCATTTGAAGCATTAGAGTAGATTTTGTGTTGCTTGACATAAGCATAATAAATACTGGTAATTCTCACCAGGGATTGACAATATGACATATTATATAGCAATTCTGAGATTACATACAAGTACTTTTACCGGGCTTATCAATTTTGTAGAAATGATTCCTTATTGAATAAATTTTATCATAACGGGTTATTTTCTCAATTTAAGCCTCCATTTTGAATACCAAAATTTATTGGTATGTGATTTCCTTAATGATTAAAAAATAAGATATATCTACCTAAACATCTTTTTGTTAATTTTTTTTTCATTCACAAGCTTACTATGTGATCCCAAAGCTTAAAAGTACCTGGTGTTTAAGTTTGATGAAGGAAGTGGTACCAATCTTTTTAGTTGCCAAAGAATTATGAGAACAACATTTTCCAGAAATTTAGGCTTTGGTTTTACTGTTGCAAATATCCGTTTACTTAGCTCTGCTACGCATCACTAGGCAAAATCAATTTGCGATAGTAAAACCTTTGTTTTACGTAGGCCAAGGGCCCAAGATCCAAATGCAATACAGATAAATCTTAATTCAAATAACGAATCATTACACACATGCAGTTTGGCAGCACAGTCTGAGTACATTAACATGTTTGAGAAACCACGATAAAACTTGTCCTACCCTCATATTACAAATGTATTACATATAAACGACATGATTGGAAAGAAATTGATATAGTGTGTACAACATGGAGAACCTGAATGTTAACAGTTATACTGTGAACTCATTGAACTGAGAACTGAGAGGAGTACCAATTGTTTTCTTTTGAATATGTTTATTTTCTGAAGACTTTGACTGTTAACATCATGACTTTGTTATCTCTAACTAGAAATGGAATCGCTCACCAGAACTTTTACTTGTTCTCAGTACTTTAAATGTAATTATAGTGAACTTCTGGACTGTTGGAGAGAGAATGAAAATGAAAGAATGGAGTGGAACTTAAAGAAGAATAAAAAGGAAAAATTATATCTAAAATATCCTTGTAGAATCTGAATTAGTTGTTAATAAACTTGGATGATATAACCTGGAATTTTTAAGTATAGATTGTAAAATCAATACTCAATTCAGCAAGCAAAGTCATCACCTTGTATTACTGATTTGTACTGAATTTTAAAAGTTTGGATTATTACTGCAGATATTGTGTTATTTTATAATGATGGAAGTCCATCAAAATGAGCAGTGATTACAATTGAATTCCATACAAAAAGTTTATTTATCTTCAAGTCTAATGAATACTTTAATAGACATTTATTGAATAGATTTGATCTATAATAGGGTTGACAGTAGTGCAGGGAAACATCTTGGAAAGTCATAACAATGTCATTCTGAGACAGAGAGTGTTTTGCTATATATGTCCTTGCATAACAAAATGCTTTCTCCAGTTGTCTACATTGCTGCTTTACAGATACATGTTGTAAAGTTACAAAACTCTGCAATATCTTCAACCAGTACAACAGTCCAGATCAAAATTGGACTGAATCATTTTAAGACCATTTAGAAATTCCATTTAATGTCTTCTTAGATGTAAAAAAACATGGTTAATGATACTATAATAACCACACAACTATCCAACCAATGTGAGGCATTTCTATATATTAAACAAAGTTATAAAATTTTCACAAACAATGTATTATTTCATGTGGAATGATGCTTGATGACCTATGTTTAGGTGAAAATGGGAGAGAGAAAATAAGCAGTTCCGGTATAAGCCTTAAAAATTCCTTGATTTTAAGAAGCATTTTTTTGTGCAATGATTTCAACTGAAATTAATAGAAGCGATGCTGTTCCAAATTGATTTCTAGTGTCTTAAATTATCTGTCTTGTCACCATTTTCAAAAAGTCTGCCAAAATATATAAACGTTAAAAGTGCTTGGATTCCAATGAAATTTGATATCTACATAGAACTTCATATACTGAATTAATTCTTGGTATCAATAAATTGGTTTCTGCCATTTCCAAAATGGCTGCCAAAATACTTGAACATGCATTCAAAGTTCAAATAATTTACCAAAAAATTGATCTTAGTAGATGATATCATGAATCAATTTCTGATTCCAAAAACTATCTATCTGCTGACATAATTTAAATATCTGTTTGTAGCCTATTTTAAAATCAAAATAGCATGGTTATAAGTAATATATTTTTAAAAAAGATTTTTTTCATTAGGCACTGAATTTTATGTCTCACGTGTAACACTAAATACACGAAAATAAAAATCCCAGTAACATGTATTGTTTTGTTTGCATCAGTATCAATGATCAGTTCTGTGCTCGGCAAAAATGTGCAAACAGGGCCCTTGCTGACATATCTGTTTTCTAGTTTTTGTCGAGCCTGCGACTTTTGTCGCAGAAAGCTCTACATAGGGATAGCGATCCGGCGGCGGCGGCGGCAGCGGCGTTAGCTAACTTCTTAAAAGCTTTATATTTTAGAAGATGGAAGACCTGGATGCTTCATACTTTGTATATGGATGCCTCATGTTACGAAGTTTCCGTCAGTCACATGTCAAATGTCCTTGACCTCATTTTCATGGTTCAGTGACTACTTGAAAAAAAAGTTCAGATTTTTTGTAATGTTAAATTCTCTCTTATTATAAGTAATAGGATAACTATATTTGGTATGTGCGTACCTTGCAAGGTCCTCATGCCCGTCAGACAGTTTTCACTTGACCTCGACCTCATTTCATGGATCAGTGAACAAGGTTAAGTTTTCGTGGTCAAGTCCATATCTCAGATACTATAAGCAATAGGTCTAGTATATTCGGTGTATGGAAGGACTGTAAGGTGTACATGTCCAACTGGCAGGTGTCATCTGACCTTGACCTCATTTTCATGGTTCAGTGGTTATAGTTAAGTTTTTGTGTTTTGGTCTGTTTTTCTTATACTGTATGCAATAGGTCTACTATATTTAGTGTATGGAATGATTGTAAGGTGTACATGTCTAGCTGGCAGGTGTCATCTGACCTTGACCTCATTTTCATGGTTCAGTGGTCAAAGTTAAGTTTTTGAGTTTTGGTCTTTCTTTCTAATACTGCATGCAATAGGTCTACTATATTTGGTGTATGGAATGATTGTAAGGTGTACATGTCTAGCTGGCAGGTGTCATCTGACCTTGACCTCATTTTCATGGTTCAGTGGTCAAAGTTAAGTTTTTGAGTTTTGGTCTTTCTTTCTAATACTGCATGCAATAGGTCAGCTATATTTGGTGTATGGAATGATTGTAAGGTGTACATGTCTAGCTGGCAGGTGTCATCTTACCTTGACCTCATTTTCATGGTTCAGTGGTCAAAGTTAAGTTTTTGAGTTTTGGTCTTTTTTTCTAATACTATATGCAATAGTTCAACTATATTTGGTGTATGGAAATATTTTATGATCTATATGTCAGTCACGCAGGTTTTATTTGACCTTGACCTCATTTTCAAGGTTCATTGCTCAGTGTTAAGTTTTTGTGTTTTCGTCTGTTTTTCTTAAACTATAAGCAATAGGTCAACTATATTTGTTGTATGGAAGAATTGTTAGCTGTACATGCCTGCCTAGCATGGTTCATCTGACCTTGACCTCATTTTCATGGTTCATTGGTCAATGTTTAGTTTACTTGGTTAATGTTAAGTTTATGTGACAGTTGTAATAAAGCTTTATATTTAGGACTATCAACATAATATCAATGATTAGTAAAGAAGGCGAGACATTTCAGCGTGTGCACTCTTGTTAGTTAAAACCACCGTATTTTAATTTGTTACCAGTGCCACTAAAAGTAATCTTAATAAGATACACCAGATTTTCATCCAACAGTCTCAGTTTAACCATTTACAAAATCCTTTATTTGGTACGTAACACTCATAGTTTTATTTTCTGTTTTCAGTGCTGGACCCAAGAATGACAATATGTATGAATGGGTGTCAACCATTCTAGGACCCCCAGGATCTGTCTATGAAGGGGGCGTGTTCTTCTTGGATATACATTTTTCCACAGATTATCCATTCAAACCACCAAAAGTAAGTTTTTCATTTTACACTTCTTTCTTCATATATATGTTAACTGACTCATTTAATGACTAATGGAATATCAGAAATCAACATTTCAACTATACATGACTAAAACACTCAAAATAAATGAACACACAATACTGAAAATAGGACAATGTATAAAAGACAGCCATTTCTGGAAACTCAGCTATACAAATATACTATACTAAATTTGATGCCCACAACACTTTTTTCCTGGGGGAACATTCATCAAGTATAAGGTATTAGAACAGAACAGAACAACATATGAATGAGATGAATTTAATAATTCTATCCTTGAAAGAACTGTGTTTATTAGTAACCAGTATAACAAAATGAAGATTTAGTCAGTTACATTTTTTGTAAGGTCAAGAGTAATAATAGTAGCAGAAAAAATGTAAGTGTATTCTCTGCAACAATCACTCAAAAATCATTAAAACTGGCTACCAGATATTTGGGGAAAATGTTTGGTGTTAATGGTTTAATGTATGGAAGTTTTGACCTTCCAAATGTCAGACAAAAGACATGAACATTGGTATTTGCAGTTTCTTTATTAAACTTCAACAAAGAGAGATTCATAATGTAAGTGTTAGCAGAGAAAATTTAACAGCAAGTTCTTAATTTCTCTATGACAGCTCATAAATAAAATTGTATGAGATCAGACAGCTGTAAAGCAGTTTGCAAAATAAATATATAAAACAAAAGAAATCTAACCAATGTAGGGATTTTAGTATAACTCAAGAAAATGATGTGGTACCTGAATTTCCTAGTATACCATACCGCATTCCTTTTAAGATAAGGTTACCTGTAACAACCTTTTATGGTTAAAAACAGCCCATCAGGCTTGGGTGTATTAGATATCTTGTTTTCGCAGTTCACTGTTTTATCATTTGTATGATTGGTTTTATTCTTGTACAGATTAATTGACTGGTTTTAAAATGTAAAATATGTATCACATGTATTATAAGACTCTTGGAAACTATTTGTTTATATACTAGATTTTATGTAAAATTGTGTTGTATTTTCCAGGTTACATTCAGGACTCGTATTTACCATTGCAACATTAACAGTAATGGAGTTATATGTCTGGACATTTTGAAAGACAATTGGAGCCCAGCCCTTACAATATCAAAAGTTTTACTATCAATATGTTCATTATTAACAGACTGTAATCCCTCCGACCCATTGGTGGGAAGCATCGCTACACAGTACCTACAGAATCGGCCAGAACATGATAGAGTTGCCAGACAGTGGACGAAACGATTTGCTACAGGATTGTAACAGATTGTTGGCTTTTAGAAAGATGTCTGAATGAAAGAAGTCCTCTCTATCTGCAATCATTTGGAATATAAGATCAAAAAATTACGTTTGTTAACTCATCTTTGCGCATTTGCAGTTCAGTGAGGCAAAAATTTGGAAGACTCCTCAAATACTGGGTTACTCAAAATTTATTCATGTAAATTCAAAGTCTGTGAAACAGATATGAAAATGTATGAAAGATTTGAAAGAACTTTGAGTTACATCGAGAAGCATATGGTAGTCTGCCTAGAGGACTATAATTCAGTCAGACAGATGATGAAAGTGTAAATTATTATTAATGAACTGCCAGATAATATTTTAAAGTAATGTACTATTATGTAATTGTATGTGAAGTCTATTTGTATTATTTGTGAGATCTGATTGGGTAAGCCGTTTGTCAGATGTTATTTGTGAGATGTGATTGGGTAAGCATTTTGTCACATGTTATTTAAGGGAGTTGAGTGTTTTAAGTTGTATGAGCATGTTGTGTCAGTTGTTTATATGTATGTAATGTTATGAGATCTTGAATGTGAGAGCACCTGTTAATGTGACATTTCTGTTGTATGTTGATTTGATCAGCGTAACATAAATCAGCTCCCATCTTACTGGCTCTGTTTACAGTACAAATTTAGGAAATATTTGACCTTTTAAAATAAAAGTCTCTATTTGGTGCTGAATCGTTAGAGAAATAAATTATAAATTCTATAGTTTTAAGACATTCAAATTAATTGATATGGCAATCTTTCAAGATTTGTTTAGTTTAAATCAGGCAAAGAAAAGAAGTGAAAAATCACAACCAAAATCAACCCAATTTTTTTGTTCAGTATTTTAAATTTTACGTTCAACAACTTGTAATTTACAAATTTTACTGCATGATACAGTGGCCTCTTATTTTATGTTATAGAGATGTCGGGTTACTGACTGCTTGTTGCCTGACTTCATATATTTGGTAATTCATGTGTATTACAGAAAGTTGAATACACAGCATTTCAGAATACTATTGAAAATTAGTAATCCGATTTCTCATAAATTAACTAGATTGTTCTTTTGACCACTTGTAATAATTTCTATTGTCCATGATCTCTTGACCACTTGTCCTCAAAGTAATACTTTCTATTGTCCCAAATTAAATGACTATTGTTGTATTGAGCCAATGTGAAATAGAGCTCCTTAACATGCGAAGAGAAAGCTACATTCACATGTACTGATCTGTAATTATACAATGAACTCTCAGTGGTATTTTTTTAAACTAGGTGTATTTTATCATGTCATTTGTAAAATTGTATGGAAATAAGTGTAAGAACATATATTGTGTCTTGTCATAGATTTGTGACCATATGAGGAGGGCTAGTGAAATGACTGTCCTGTCTATTGAGAGAAAGAATTTATTGTGTCTTGTCTGTTGAGAGAAAGATATATTGTATTGGAAATTTTGTTATTGTTAGTTCTTTCATATTTTTACTGTAATTTTAATAGAATGGGAGGAAAACTGTATTGTAAAGGGAACTTGTATTAGCTCTTTAGATCTGATTTATAAAAAAAGTAAACAAAGTCTTCTCAGACAGATTAAGACAAATATTCACAAACTTGGTTTTTTTTTGTACCGCAGACAGTTTTTTTAACTTACGGATTTCAGATAATTGAAAATTGAAAGTGCAAGAAATCTGAAAAGGACAAAATGAAGTTGGAATACAGAACTATTTCCACATTGTTTACTTTGAAAAGAATGGAATGTGTCTTTTTGTAGTAGAAAGTCTCTTTGTATTAAAAATACATGTGTTGTCTATGAATTTACCAATGTCTTGCACTAAAAGAAAGATGAATTTAATTTGACTCTGAAATTATGGAAATAAATTGATGCAAAATCAGCTGAATATTATATATCATACAATTAATTCAAAGTTCATGATTTACAAAATGGTAAATATAGGGAATTAATATGTCAATAAAATGTAACATAAAGAAGTATCAGTTTACTGTATATTTGTCAGTTTACTGTATATCTGTCAGTTTACTGTATATTACTGTATATCTGTCAGTTTACTGTATATCTGTCAGGGAGTAAGCAGTCCAAACAAATAGCCTTACATATTTATTCCTGACTATAAGATTCTCTATTCACCTCCTTACATTACCTAGATCATTTTACAAAAGAACAACTTTTTAATTTCTTTTTAGTGATAAATTCAGTCATTTTGTCTAAAAAAAATTTTAATGCAAATTTCAAGTAAGCCCTAAATGTGTTTTGAGGTATATTTTTTTTTCAAAATCTTGTGGCCACTTGAGCACATATTTCATAGCTGAGATTATCCACAGCATCAATTTAAATTATTTGTATTATATCAGTGCAACACAACCTGCTTAGTTTGGGAAAAAAATGCTTTACCTCTTCCTACCTATTTGTTCAATATACAGCAAAGAGGTATTTACACCGGAATTATGTAATGTTTGAATAGTAAGTAAAATGGTGAATTTATTTTTGTTTTCTTGTTTAAAAAAATTGAAATATTGTAAGTAATGTCATTTAAAGAACTCATTTGTACATTGAATTAATGAATAACCTTAGTGAAATGTGTATGTTCAGCATGGCTGGTATCCATTAAAAAGGAAAAACAACCAACATTTTAGATTGATTTTTTTTTCAGTTAAAAATGAAAATTTAAAGCCAAAAAAAATACAGTTGAATTTGAGTATATTGTCACATAAAGGGACATAATCATGTTGAGCTACACATCAAAACAAATAATTGAGGTTACCTCCCTTTATACAAGTTGTTATGATTGTCAATAAATGGTAAACATGTTTATTAGATATTGACTTGTTGTTCCTTCGCTAGATTACACAAATTTTTGACAATACATTGGAGTAAAAGGTGACAGCAAAATTATACTAAATACATATGTTTCACAACTATGATGAAAGATAATGGGACACAAAAAACTAAATTTTCCAAATATTTACTTTAGAAATTGTATCTGAGGTACATAGAGATGTGTAACATAATTACCATATGGCATGTTTACTAACAGGAAACATTCATTTTACATAGAAATCTTTGGGAAACATGTAGCAAATATGTTCTTGGGATCTGCAACACCAGTTGAAACCAAAAATGTCAGGAGGCTTTCTTTTGAGTTTTGTTACTTTGTTATGGATTAGCCAAATCTTATGGTTGAGGATTTAAATTTTGAACTGAAGCCTTCAAAGATGTGTAGAAAAGTCTTATTGAAGCCAAGTATTACAGAAAACTGGCTTTGAAGTTGCTTTATCAGTAGTGGTTCATTGGTGTCAATCTGCCTATAGACCCTATCGCTATTTGGGAATCTGCAACACTTGACCCAAGAATTTGTGACACTTAAACTTTTGATGTCATACAACACTCACTTTTCCTTTGTGGCGTCATACATTTTCTCTTGTGACGTCAAAATTTGACAGGAACTTCTGTGATGTCCAGTAATGGCGGACAAATAGCGATAAGGTGTATTGATATGGCTATAAGCAGGGGACTATGTATTTCACTTGGACCTATGAGAAAGGAGTAGGTTCGATAAGGCCCTAAAATGGCCCCTAATTCTAGCTGAAATTTGAAATTTGAATTTATTGACCAATGTCACAAGGAATCATTGGTAATATAACGACTAGATTGGAAAAACGTCTTTTTGTTGAAAATTTATGTTTTTTGTGTTCTATTCATGACGTCACAAATAGCACTCATTTTGATTTTCCGCCAAAATTCGATGAAAACGGGTAAATTTACGTTGACTTTTTGGAGAGGAAACATAGAGCGCATGCTTCAACAACAAAAATATTTTAGCCTAATGTTTTGTTATGAAATTTTACATATCTGACTGGAATATATTGTTGTCGATGCCTGCGCTCTATGTTTCCTACATTGTAATTAGGTTGAAATCCGGATGATTTTGTCCAATGTTTCACAAAAACTCTATTTTTGGGATGTAAAAATCAATGCTTGAAAATAAAACTATGGCAAAAATAGTTTTATTTAACTTTCTCATATGCCTTTTCATCAACTTAAACCACGTTTTATCCTGAAACATTGAACTTAATAATCGTGGCCAAATTTGGCCCTTACCGAACTTATTCCTTTAGAAAATTCTTCTTTAAAGCTACCATATCAAAAGTGATAACCAATATGCCAGGAAGCATATTGCATGTACTAGTTAATAGGATAGCGAATTCATTGTTGCATATAATGAGATTCCTCAACAAGTAAGACATGCCTGGCAAGTAATTGATACAGGCTCATGTAAACTTCTAGTTTGGTTTCTAGACTATTTATTTTTGTATGTTTCTAGCTTTGAAAGCTTACTAGTTTAGTGTCATAGTATATGCCAATCGAGTAATTTGATAGCCATTACTTTCAGTTGAATGCTCGTAAAATATATTGTAAACATATTTGTACATAAAAAAAATTTAAACAGGTTATTTATTATAATTGGCCAGGCTTATGTTGTGCCAAGCTTACATAGTCATCATAGTTTTTATACCAATTCGAAATTCAGGAAACCATATTCAGATGCCAATATTTTATATTATATGAAACTAGCAGGGGAGAAACACTAGGATTCTTGAAAACAGAAAGATTAAATTCAGCATAACATTTTGATGCAAAACTGATTGTTTGTTGTAACAGTGGTTTTGATACCAATATGAATTTCAGACATTTACAACAAAGAGGCCTAGCTACAGTTAGCAACCAAGATTTCAGAAGAACCATGCTTTCATTTACATTCCTTGAGTGTGTAAATGTTTGTATTTGGCTAATATTGATCTTATTAACACAATGTTGATTCTTCAGATTAGTTGATTTTAATCTAATACAAGGAAGTGATAATCATGTCTATATTGTCACTGGTTGGTTGTCAGTCTCCAAATAGTCCAAATAAGAAATGTTCTGGTACTACCAGGATTTAGATAATCTTTCTTGCTGTAAATCTTTCAGTTCATGAATTATGTACTGAAACTAATGTGACATGCAACTCACTCGGGTTAAATTGACCCAAGACCTGTGTGAATGCTCTGTTCAGGTTCTTTTGGTTGTTATGTCCACACATGCTTTTGTGTTTACTTGTTCGGTGTCTTGTTTACTTTTAACAAGAGTGCACACGCTGAAATGTCTCGCCTTCTTTACTAATCATTGATATTATGTTGATAGTCCTAAATATAAAGCTTTACTACAACTATCACATACACTTAACATGATCCAAGAAAATGAGGTCAAGGTCATATAAACCAAACAAGAAATACATGTACACCTTACAATCATTCAATACACTAAATATAGTTGACCTATTGTTTATAGTTTCTAAGATACAGACTTAACCAAGAAAACTAAACATTGACCAATGAACCAAGAAAATGAGGTCAAGGTCAGATGAACAATGCCAGGCAGACATGTACTACAGCTTGCAATCCTTCCATACAACAAATATAGTTGACCTATTGCTTATAGTATTAGAAAAACAGACCAAAACACAAAAACTTAACACTGAGCAATGAACCGTGAAAATGAGGTCAAGGTCAAATAAAACCTGCAAGACTGACAGGTACATCATAAAATATTTCCATACACCAAATATAGGTGACCTATTGCATATAGTATTAGAAAAAAAGACCAAAACTCTAAAACTTAACTTTGACCACTGAACCATGAAAATGAGGTCAAGGTCAGAAGACACCTGCCAGCTAGACATGTACACCTTACAATCATTCCATACACCAAATATAGTAGACCTATGGCATACAGTATAAGAAAAACAGACCAAAACACAAAAACTTAACTATAACCACTGAACCATGAAAATGAGGTCAAGGTCAGATGACACCTGCCAGTTGGACATGTACACCTTACAGTCCTTCCATACACCGAATATACTAGACCTATTGCTTATAGTATCTGAGATATGGACTTGACCACCAAAACTTAACCTTGTTCATTGATCCATGAAATGAGGTCGAGGTCAAGTGAAAACTGTCTGACGGGCATGAGGACCTTGCAAGGTACGCACATACCAAATATAGTTATCCTATTACTTATAATAAGAGAGAATCTAACATTACAAAAAATCTTAACTTTTTTTTCAAGTAGTCACTGAACCATGAAAATGAGGTCAAGGACATTGGACATGTGACTGACGGAAACTTCGTAACATGAGGCATCCATATACAAAGTATGAAGCATCCAGACCTTCCACCTTCTAAAATATAAAGCTTTTAAGAAGTTAGCTAACGCCGCCGCCGCCGCCGCCGCCGGATCACTATCCCTATGTCGAGCTTTCTGCGACAAAAGTCGCAGGCTCGACAAAAATCAGAAGACGTTTATTCCGAAAATGTATGCTGTACACGCTGGAATCATTACAACACTCATGTTAAAAAACTCATTAAAGATACCAGGCTTATGTTGTTGTACGCCAGACGTGTGTTTCTTTTACAAAAGACTCATCAGTAACATTAGAATAGAAAAAAGATAGCAGGCCAAATCAAGTACGAAGTTTAAGAACATTGAGGACCAAAATTTCTAAAGGGCTTTGTCAAAAACCTTCCAGTTGGTTGCACATTGCAAACTATTTATTTTTTGTTGATTTCAAGCCTAGTATCAATTGAAAAAATGTAAAATCTCTGTTAAAATTGAGCATCCAGGAAATGATATGTTGTCTTGCAAGATGAAAATATCTTAAAAGTGAATAGTAGATTGCATTTCCAAAACAGGACGTAAAAGGTATAGTCCAATATTTATTTAAAATCATAGGTAAAGAAACTAAAGTGGTAAACATCAATGTAATATTTAGTTTTTTTCAATGCATGTTTTATGCCATGCAACATACCCTAAGAAATACATTCATTTTTAGCTCACCTGGCCCGAAGGGCCAAGTGAGCTTTTCTCATCACTATGCGTCCGTCGTCCGTCGTCGTCGTCGTCGTCGTCGTCGTCCGGCTTCGTCTGTTAACTTTTACAAAAATCTTCTCCTCTGAAACTACTGGATCAAATTTAACCAAACTTAGTCACAATCATCATTGGGGTATCTAGTTTAAAAAATGTGTCCGGTGATCCGGTCAACCAACCAAGATGGCCGCCATGGCTAAAAATAGAACATAGGGGTAAAATGTAGATTTTGGCTTATATCTCTGAAACCAAAGCATTTAGAGCAAATCTGACGGGGTAAAATTGTTAATCAGGTCAAGATCTATCTGCCCTGAAATTTTCAGATGAATCGGACAACCCGTTGTTGGGTTGCTGCCACTGAATTGGTTATTTTAAGGAAATTTTGCCGTTTTTGTTTATTATCTTGAATATTATTATAGATAGAGATACACTGTAAAACAGCAATAACGTTCACCAAAGTGTGATCTACAAATAAGTCAACATGACCAAAATGGTCAGTTGACCCCTTAAGGAGTTATTGCCCTTTATAGTCAATTTTTAACCATTTTTCGTAAATTTTTGTAATCTTTTACAAAAATCTTCTCCTCTGAAACTACTAAGACAAATTTAACCAAACTTGTCCACAATCATCATTAGGGTATTTAGTTTAAAAAATGTGTCCGGTGATCCGGCCAACTAACCAAGATGGCCGCCATGGCTAAAAATAGAACATAGGGGTAAAATGTAGATTTTGGCTTATATCTCTGAAACCAAAGCATTTAGGGCAAATCTGACATGGGGTAAAATTGTTAATCAGGTCAATTTCTATCTGCCCTGAAATTTTCAGATGAATCGGACAACCCGTTGTTGGGTTGCTGCCCCTGAATTGGTTATTTTAAGGAAATTTTGCCGTTTTTGGTTATTATCTTGAATATTATTATAGATAGAGATAAACTGTAAACAGCAATAATGTTCAGCAAAGTAAGATCTACAAATAAGTCAAATGACCAAAATGGTCAGTTGACCCCTTAAGGAGTTATTGCCCTTTATAGTCAATTTTTAACCATTTTTCGTAAATTTTTGTAATCTTTTACAAAAATCTTCTCCTCTGAAACTACTAAGACAAATTTAACCAAACTTGTCCACAATCATCACTAGGGTATCTTGTTTAAAAAATGTGTCCGATGACCCCGCCCGCGAACCAAGATGGCCGACATAGCTAAAAAATAGTACATAGGGTAAAATGCAGTTTTTGGCTTATATCTCTGAAACCAAAGCATTTAGAGCAAATCTGACATGGGATAAAATTGTTAATCAGGTCAAGATCTATCTGCCCTGAAATTTTCAGATGAATCGGACAACCCGGTGTTGGGTTGCTGCCCCTGAATTGGTTATTTTAAGGAAATTTTGCCGTTTTTGGTTATTATCTTGAATATTATTATAGATAGAGATAAACTGTAAACAGCAATAATGTTCAGCAAAGTAAGATCTACAAATAAGTCAACATGACCAAAATGGTCAGTTGACCCCTTAAGGAGTTATTGCCCTTTATAGTCAATTTTTTTTAAATTTTCATAAATTTTGTAAATTTTTACAAAATATTTTCCACTGTAACTACTGGGCCAAGTTCATTATAGATAGAGATAATTGTAAGCAGCAAGAATGTTCAGTAAAGTAAGATCTACAAACACATCACCATCACCAAAACACAATTTTGACATGAATCCATCTGTGTCCTTTGCTTAATATGCACATAGACCAAGGTGAGCGACACAGGCTCTTTAGAGCCTCTAGTTTAAATAATTTATCTTTCTTGTGACAAAAATTCAGATGTGTGTTAAAATTTCGTTGAGATAATCTATATACCCACAGGTACTTGTCTCTGAAAAAAACCCACCTATATACGCTAAATTTAAAGTGTATAGGTGTTTTTTTTACAGACAGGGGCCTACGGTAATAACTACATGTGGTAAGAACACTGACTGTTGACTATCCTAACTTGACTATGGTTGTTTTTTTCCTGGTTTTATTGTGTTACTGTCACATTTGTGTATAATATACATCTCATATTTACATGAAAAACCTAAACATCGTTCATCAACACTAGAGCAAATTGAAAATGTTATTTCCGTGAACAATTATACGGTGGTTGAACTGATGTTTATAGCGTGTTCTTATGTTGTACTGTTACACACTGTCCCAGGTTAGGGAGAGGTTTCGCCTCTAAACACGTTTAACCCTGCCACATCAGATATGTGCCTGTCCCAAGTCAGGAGCCTGTAGTTCAGTGGTGGTCGTTGGTTCATTTGTCATATTTGTTTTTCGTGAATTGCTTTGTTGTAAATTAGGCCGTTAGTTTTCTCGATTGAATTGTGTTATATTTTTCATGCTGGGGCCTTTTATAGCCGACTATTGTCTCATTTTCCATGTTAAAACAGTTAATAATTTATATAACAGAAGATTTGATTTGAATTAATATGTTACCCGGAGTTTATTACAATGAGTGGTTTGTTCTCTTATTTATAAAGTAATTACTAACCTAAACTTTAGACCCGAGCTTACTAAGTTGAGATTTTCTATTTCCCTTTTGTTTCCTCATATAAACAACACATTAATATGAATTTTTAATGAAATAATTTATAACAAATTGCACATTTGATATATTACATAAAATAGACATAATGACTCCTTTAATATTGAAATACAAACAACAAAGTAATTTACTATAACATGCATTATTTTATCTGTAAACATTCCTGCTTGATTGATTTAAGTTTATATCATTGATTCTCAAAGAAATTTTAAAAAAAAACGCGTTTAAAAATACCACCGAAAAATTATTATCCGATGTTTCTGGTGCAATTATTGACTGATGTTCTATCGTTTGCTTGACCTCCAGTGTCATATTCTTTGAGAAAATATCAGTTAGCAAATCTCGTTCAAATTACCATCAGGCCTGAGAGTACAATCTAGTAATTTGGTAGCTGATCAGGTAATACACTTATTGAGTAACACGATGGGAGTCATTGGTGGAGCAAAACCACTGGTCCTTCCGGAGCATCCAAGGGTTTTAGTGAGTTTCGTGTCGTTGAGAGTTCTGTATACAATTCCCTCATGCAAAAATCTAATGCACAGAAATGTATTTGTAAAAGTACGACCATTAAGCTGAAGAACACACAAATAATTTCCTGCAAATGTCTAAAGATATATTTCCATTTAGCATTTCCCAACACACGTATCAGCAGCCGTGTTTTTTTTCTTTTTCTGTTGATTATGTACGAAATGGGTGTTGGAGTATTTGATTTTTTATGTTCAAAACTTCAAGTTGAAATGTCATCACAGGATATATTTTTCTGTTCAAAATGAACGCCGGAAAAAAACCCAGAAAACTGTATTCGATTTTCAATTTCAAAATATATTCATCCTTTATATAAAATCTAAAAACTAAGTCTTCTAGGCATACGTTTCCACATATGTTTTTTTCATGTTTGCCTTCCTCGCTTTTACTCCAAAATCAAATTCGTCCATTACTAGTTTACATTATTACTTCAATACGAAAAATTTAGCAGTAGTCAAAATTGAATAGGAATAATTTGAAATCAGCTTCCAACTGCCAATTTGCCAGTTCAATATAGCAAGACATTTTTAACTGTTAAACGTGGATGCATCTTGAGATAATGTTTGGGAAAGAAACAGCATAATATGCAAAAATAAACGTTTGCTTTGACAGTCAAATTCAAAGCACAATAGATACCTAGAGTAAAGAGTAAACTTTACCCCACTCAAAACAATGTCAAATGTATACTGTGATATTTAGAATTAAATGCTCCCGAAAGAGGCTTTGATTATAGAACACACATCAAATCCTGCTTATTTCATACGCTGGTCTGCAATATGTGTCATTTCTCCATTTGCATTGAACGATTTATTTCCTTATTTTGTTGATGAATGAGAATCCGTTTAATTGAATCAACGACTGCAATGTCCCTGATACTCTCGTTGAACAGTTACAAAAATTGCTCAAACTATTCACAGTTAGGCAATAATAGTATCCAATACTGTTTATCCAACAATTTTGATCAGTGAATAATAGTCCGCGATCTTCCCCATTTCATTTTCATCCAATTTGTTGGTGCAATGCAAGTCACTGTAAATTCTCTTGAAAAGGGTCCTTGATTCCGTGTTCTTCCCTGCAAACAAAATTGAATAAAAACAGTGAAGTAAAAAAAGCAAAAAATTGTCGAATTTATTCACAAGAAAACAAATAGAAAAACTATTTCTTGGTAAAATTTTCACCGGAGGCATCAATCAATCAATCCGGAATATAACTGCAATCAAAAAATAAGTTCGATATGTTCAAAACACTTTAGTCATTATAATAACTGAAAAATTTCTGTGACAAGTTGATAAGATAAGTTAAATATTTTCAAAAGATAAATAAGAAAAAGAAAAGACTATACATATATAAACATAAAGATCTTGCTTTGATCTATCTTCTCTTCTCTTATTTGTGACTTTATTTCTCGTGGCTTTATCGAAGCCAATTGCAAGAACAAAAAAACATGATGTAAAAAATAAAAATATATACATTTTTTAAATATCGTTACAACCAAAACGATTGTAACCTTAATTGAATGATCTTACCTTGTTGTCAAACATCGGATGTTTAGCACTACCCAACATCCAGTGAATACTTTTAATAGATTTTGTAGGCGAGTCCGTCCTGCTGATGGGGGATGGTGACGGCTCTGGTCGGAAGTAGTCCCCATTGGACCTTTGTCGCTGATTACCTATCATTCTGGAAAGAAAGAAGATTGTATATTAAAAGAGAGGCATGCAATGGATACCAAAGGAATATTTAAACCCATGAGTCGAAAACGAACTGACAATGCCATGGCAAAAAAACGAAAAACGACGAAAGACATACAACAGTACACAAAACACAACATAGGAAACTAAAGACTGAGCAACACGAACACTTGTATATTAAGATAAGTGCAGAATACTAAAATCTTTCAATTTTTTAAATGTATATTACAAATATTGAACACCGTGTGTCTACATAATATATTTTATGGTGAAAATTAACATATTCAACAGTAGTAAAGTGCACAGACACCAACATACCTGAAGGCATATATTGAAATCTGAAGTGTATAACCGTAATGAAACTGAACGAAAAACTTTCCAATTACAAATATGTTTAAAATGTCTGCACTTTTAAAATACATTGTTATGTCAACTGTCACTCCTTATGTCATATTGCCATGTGATTCAATGGTTCTGGCCTTTCTGATCTTCCAGTTAAACTTCTCGGTTTCGTGTTGTCCAATATTATGTTGTCTGTGTAGAGTTTTGTGGCCTATTGTTTGTCTTTTTGTTTTGTTTTGTTTTTTATTTTGGCAATGCGTGGTTTGTTCTTTTACTTATAATTTTTGGTAATCTTTTGCTAATTTTATATCTTACTATCAAATGTGAATATATTACGAAAAACATACGATTTATAGACTTGTACATCTTCCATATTGCTATCTTTGACAGGATGCCATTGAAGTTGTCTGACTGTTGGTGTAATGGCGGCGTTCTGGAATTTTGGTACAGCCAAGTTGACCTGTCGCTCTTGTTGAGAATACGTCTGTGGAGGGTTCAACATACGTACTACTGGCACTAGTTCGGGAACTCTGAAATATTTCGTTTAAAAATGATTAACTTTCACATAAAAGTTGCCAATTCTAAATTGCAAGCGACACATTTCGAATAATTTCACATGATATAAAAGATAATTATAAGCCGTTAAGTTAAACCCTAACAACATATCCTGTTGATAGTTCATGAATTATATAATTTTTTTAAAAAGTACTGAATCACTTTTATGTTTTATCCAAAGAAAACGTTTCTTTGATTATTAAAACACTTTATTACCGGCTATCGACACTGTAGGTAACACAGATCTAAATGTGTTTGACTGATAGCCGGTTATATTTTGTGTTTAAGTGCATCGAACAAAAACAAAATACATTTCATTTTTTCAAACAAAATGTAAGCATTTTCTTAAAGATAACGATATCGCCGCCTTTTTTCTTTTTATTCCTGATTTTTTTTAATTTCTTGTACCTCAATGAAGGTTCATATCCAAAGCGGCTGAATATTTTATCATCGTCATCTTCCGATTTGAAATCATCTCTATGGGAGATTCTTGGCAACCGGTAAGGAATATTTGTCGTCACATCGTCATCCAATAAAGAAAGTTCCCGACTGTACGATGTTGTAAGTCTGCTCTTTGAACCTGATGGTAAACTTCGCGCAGTTTTACTCCATCTAAAAATGGAAAATTAACAATATGAAAGGTTGAATAAATATTCATCACATGAAGAGGTATGGTAAAAAGAAAGTGTCAAACGACATATGAAGGCTCGTTTCCCTTCACTTGATATGTCTAAATAAATCAATTTCATAATTTGGTTATCAAAATCAACGAATTGAGAATTGAAAAAAATGGGAAAGCTGAAAGCCCTGTTTCTCCAAAAACTTAAATTACGAGATTTATAAATACGTAAGAGCCGAGACGTATAATAAACTCATCAAAGATACCAGGCTTAAAAACATTTTACACCAGATGCGCCTTTCGTCTACAAAAGACTCACCAGTGAAGCTCGAATCAATCAAGTTAAAAAGGCCATACAATTGTCTCCAGTAAGGATACGTTAAATACAATGTTGTAGCAGTCAGTGAATTTTAATTGATTTGATTAACTAATTGCATGAAAATAAAACATACCTCAAATAATGTGCACCATTATAAGGGTCAGCTTCAATATCCGGAAAATGTTTCAAAGAACTGGTACTCATTTTTTTTAACTCCTTGAATATTTATTTTCCAATTGAAGTCGAACAAAACTTTTCAAATGCTTACTTTCTAACATACAACATATTGACTTCAATTTGGTTTTGTTTTCTATAGATATTTAATGCTTTTATATCCTGTTGTGACTTTACGTATTCTATATAATATTTATGTTAGAATCTGATATCCATATTTAAAAAATCATAAACATATGCTTCAGGTCCATAATTAACTGATGCATTCGCGATTATTTTGGATTAAAACGAATTAAATTTCATAGTGAATTAAAACTTCCATGACGCTATGCGTTGGTATACAGTTACTTTATGACTACTCAAATCAGTGTTTCTTTTTCAAACATATCCTCCTTTACAAATAGTACAATGCAGAAAAAAAATAAAAAGCGATTTAAATGCCCTATTCAAATTATCATTTATACAAAAATAGCAATTTTTCTCCACAATCAGATATCCCATACAAAGGACCTCATAACATAGTATTGTATTCTTTTCAAAAGTTGTAAAGATTAGCGCCTTGACAACTAAAAGGTCGAAAATTGTTCAATGTAAACTTTTGTGTATTGGCTTCCGTACAAAGGCATGTGTTCTAGACAATAGAATTAAAATTCTGGTACTAATAAGCTGTGGCGTTTATGGAAATAAACAATTGTTTATGGTAAACAATAAATCTGGTCGATTTCATATCCCGTCGTCACTTTTGAAATTAAATCTGATCCTTTTATGATTTGAAAAGAAACAATTTCAGCTTTGAATAAATCAGGACACTAATTATAACTAGTGGCTGCCATTAATCAATATACATAAAATCTGATTCAGCAGACGAGTCGGAGCCGAGAAAATAATTTGAAGTATAATCCTAAGTATTTGAACGTCAGAATTAATTTCTTATCAAAGATTAGGGGGAAATATCTCAATTTAGTATAATTTAACTTGTAATGTGTAAATTTATTCAAGTTTTACTATGTTCAAATAGAGGATAGTATTTCCTTATTATAAAAATAAGAAGATGTGGTATGATTGCCAATGAGACAACTCTCCAAAAGAGACCAAATGACACAGAAATTAATAACTATAGGTCACTGTACGGCCTTCAACAATGATTAAAACCCATACCGCATAGTCAACTACAAAAGGCCCCGAAATGACAAGTGTAAAACAATTCAAACGAGAAAACTAACGGCCTGATTTATGTACAAAATAATGAACGAAAAACAAATATGATATACAGCAACAAACGACAACCACTGAATTACAGGCTCCTGACTTGGGACAGGCAGATACAGAATGTGGCGGGGTTAAACTAATTTGAAGGCGCATCAACCCCCCGTCCCCTAACCTGGAACAGTGGTGTAACAGTACAATTTAAGAACAATTATAAAAATCTGTTGAAAAGGGCTTAACTCATCAGATCGATACAAATACATCTAACAAAACACAGAGTGGACATGGCAGGGTACTTACTTTTTGAACTGACTTCGGCAACAGGAAAAAGAAGGGAAATATCACACCTATTACCATCATAAATAAAGGAAGCACAAATGTGCTTTTCCTGCTACATGAAAATATAATCTCACCAAACCAAAACAATTAACCTTCACAAGAAACTTGTAGATTATTTTTCAGTAAATGGACAAATATGCATAGAACAAATGAATAAAATAAGTATAAAAGTGATTATCAACATTCATATAGAAAACTTATTTCGCAGACTTGAACTTGGGACCAAACTCATCGCATGTTGTTCTGTATATCATCGTGTATATTAAACCTTAAACATCATACTTGTAAATATTTTTTTTTATTAATCTTTTCCTGTAATCTAAGAGTCTGACCTAACTCGGTCACCCGTAATTTATTACAAGATAAACTGATATACCGATATGTCTAACTCCGTGTACACTTGATAGATAGATTAAAACATTTAATAACAAGTTCAAATGTATTCATACTTTGGATTTTGATTGTCATTCTTTGGACCTACAGTGCTAGGGTCTGTAATTGTTTTATTATATTTTTCGATAATTTTCCTACACATGGAGATTGAAGTCTTTGTGTGTCTTACCTTAAGTCCATTGCTGCTTACACTAAGTATAAAAATGAAAATATAGTTAAGATACTAGACCTAAAATGTACTTAGATCCTTATCAATTCGAAGTTTAGAGTAAAGATGAAAAGGATTCACCAATAGTGTGTTTGACCGAGGAATTATAAGCATTGATTTATTGAAGTTCAAACACTTTTTTAAATCCAAATTCAATTTTACGTCATTGACCGTAGAGAGAGGTTATTTACACAAAGTATTAAAGACTTAGAGCTTATTGATTATGGATTTCTTCAAGAAAAAAGTGAATCAAAGTTTGTATTGATTCGCATCTTTCTTTTCCCATAAAATCTTTAAAAGTTAAAAGATAAGCTCAAGAAATACTCTTGTATGCTCTTGTTGTTAAGTTAAAGTAAATGGAAGAGCACAGAGGAAAGCGCGGCAATGTATATAACTTCAGAAAGCAGAAAAAACATAAATAATTCAATCCTAAAACAACTTCATTGTTTTAAACAAACTTTGATTGCTGATCTTGATTCATCAATTTTGTACAGATTTCGCTCGAAATACCACCATTGTCATTAAATGTAGTCGTCTGACACAATATCTCAAAGGGTCTGACACAAGTTTTATCGTGAGAATCACACTAAAATCACAGTTTTACCTCGAGCTTCTACGATCTATAGTTAAAGAAAGATATGTCCTCCTATGAGGTCAATTGCACAGGATTTTCTGTTTCGCTCCAATGTAGCACTATGGAAAACAGCGTTTCAATTATTTTCGTCATTTCAAATAATGAAAATGGGCAATTGAAAAAACTATAGTATTTTTACTCTTTTCTAATGAGCTGCGTCGGATAGAAATCGACCTTATGCAAGTGCACATATACATGTACATGTATAAGACTTTGATTGATTTTGGAAAATTCAAATACGAAATGAAAGATGAATTTACGTCTGTTTTGTAGGGTTGTTATAACAACTCAATATTCAAAGAATTGCAGACTTTGAATAGAAATTTTTTCAACCCGAAATAGTATAACAGATGTATTGATATTAATTTGCATAAGGTCGATTTCTATCCGACGCAACTCTAATCATGAAACTTTGTATACAGTATATGGGAATCATTTAAGTATGCTTACAAGTAAATGTTAGAGGACAACAGAAAAACTAAGAAACCAAAAGAATACAGAACAAACAAAATGCAAGAGAGAATAAAAGAGTTCAACTTTGTATATATATGAGCAATTTTAGGACAATTAAAAAATATATATCAGTCCTGTATTCAGTATTAAAATGTTATATTTCTAACTATTGTTGTAGATATTATCAACAGTGAAGATCAGTCCAATTCGTTATTTCTTTTGAATCAATTACATATGAAAAATTTCATAAGAAAATGCTTTTTCATTTTTATTGATATAAGGTTTATAAGACTATCACTCTTATCAAAATTTACCTATATTTACATTGTATATATTTCTTACCTTGGTCTAATTGCAGGTAACATAACTATCTATTCCATGTACATTTCAGAATATTTCCTTTAATATCAGATAATTAAAATTCAATATCAAGTTAATATATAGGGATCGATTCTGATAGAATCTTGAATTGTCATTCGTGAGCGAGGTACTATCAGGGTTGAAAGAACATGTTTAACTGGCTTAACTAATTGGAGGTTCTATGATCCACACATGAACATAAACAATTTATCAATTTAAAAGTCTGAAATTGAAACCAAGACATTGGTAAACAAGACTTGACATAACGCTATGTAAATATACGCCTTTTGACTGATATGGTTGCATAATTTTCAATATTTTTTGCCCGCATAGTTCAACACCAGTAGTGTTAAAAATCAAATATATTGTTAGTATGTAACAGACAATGGATATAGATATATGTATATATACATAGATCATACAAATTTACTACGACAAATGAATTCGAGATATTTGATCATGTAAACAATAATTAAGTATACCGAGACTGAACCTAATACGTGTATATAGTTAACAATTCTAAGGTATCAGTTATGAGTAAAATATGATAAGTTGTATAGTCATATATAAGATACTAGTAGGTTAATGGATTGCCATATTAAGCTTCTTGTATTTTTCTGTGTCTGTTTCTGTTTTTCGCTTAAGCATCTAATCGTTTCTTTTTCGATGTTCAGTCTACATTTTAGATAGGAAGTATGAAATCTTGATACACCATACATTTATCTTTAATCCATTTGCTACTCTCTCAAAGGTACCTTACACCGCCAATGCTACGAAAACATGGAAGAAACAATACTTCAGAGGGTCTATTCCATTTTAAAAAGGCACATATCCCGGATTTTGGTTGGGAGGAGCAGGAGTTCAATTTTTTATTGGTCCTTTTACTAGTTGATCTATCTGTATCTTTGCCTTTCCGATTTAAGTTTGAGTGTTTCTGATGTTAATCCAAAAGAAAAATATTTGTTTTTACTTTTCTTTTTATATACTATAACCTGTATGACTCTATATATACCGATTGCCATTAGAAACGTAACCCCTATATATACACATATACATATACAGTTGACCAATCGTTCTACGCTTTTGAAGACTTCTTATGATATGCCCACAGAACATTTCCAGTAATTTTCAGAACTTTTCGATTTTCTGATTTTAATGTTTACAAATTCCACATTTTAACTAGATAATAAAAATTTACACGTTGGATGTCAAATTGCCTCAATAATCAACTTCCATGTAGCAAAAAGGGACACAAAAGTAGTGCAAAGTTATTGTATATTGTATTAGTGTATATTACTGACAATGGTTTGATTGATTGATTGTTGGTGTTTAACGCCACTTTCAGTACTATATGGCAGTTTTGTCAGAGAGAAATGACAAGAGGGAAATCCAGCGTGCCCGGAGAGAATCTTCAACATTTGACAGGAAAACTGGCAATCCTAGTCAATTAGAATTGGAGTCGAATGCGGTGTTCGTCCTCACAACCGCTGTGCTAGACAGGTTAGTGATACAGTAGATGAGCTCCCTAGTCCACTCTCGTACTCACAACCGCAGTGCTAGACAGGTTAGTGATACAGTAGATGAGCTCCCTAGACCCCTCTCGTACTCACAACCGCAGTGCTAGACAGGTTAGTGATATAGTAGATGAGCTCCCTAGACCACTCTCGTACTCACAACCGCAGTGCATAACAGGTTAGTGATACAGTAAATGAGCTTCCTAGACCACTCTCGTATTCACAACCGCAGTGCTAGACAGGTTAGTGATACAGTAGATGAGCTCCCTAGTCCACTCTCGTACTCACAA